GGGAGCCTGTACACAGCTCCCACATGATATCACCCTGCCTCGAGTTGTTTTGGCCATCCATCACAGCATCCAGTCAACAGACTTTTATGACAACTTCATCACTTAAAACAGGAGATACACAGATGGGGAAGCCAGAAGCTGGCTCCTGCTTCTGAGAAGGGGGGAGGCAGACATGCGAACAAATCTTGCAAACAAAAGTCAGCGGCCGCCCCCTCGACTCGCCGTGCGGGGAGAGCCTGGAGTGCACGCGCGGCGCGTGCCGCTGCCGCTGGGCGCACGCCGTGTGCGGCACGGACGGGCACACCTATGCCAACGTGTGTGCGCTGCAGGCGGCCAGCCGCCGGGCGCTGCAGCTCTCGGGGACGCCCGTGCGCCAGCTGCAAAAGGGTGCCTGCCCGTCGGGTAAGTGCCGGCGCTGCGGGGCGCGGGGCGCGGGGCGCGGGTCCGAGCCTTCTCCCTGGGAACCGAGGCTCGGAGCTGGGGAGGCGCCTCAGGGGCCCCTGGGAGCAACCGGAAGGCCCTTTGGAAGTGATCTCGCCGGCCCTCCGGCTTTCCGAGTGGGGACGCTGAGGCCCAAATGGGTAAGCCACTGTCCCCAAGGTCCGGCCTCCCTCGTGTCCTGGCTTCTGGCCTCATCGGAATTTGCCCGATGGTGTCCCATTCCGCGGCTCCGCTCGGCCCTGCTCTGTGGTCGGCTGGGTGAAAGGCCGTCTTTCCTGGCCCTAGGTCCCCAGTCTGGGCGCCCTCTTGAGTGACATCCAGTTTTCTTTTTTGGTTCTTTTTTTAAAACTGCACTTGAAATGCACATCTCCAGAGGGCTGTTTGGGAATGGTGTCCGAGCACGTGGGGTCCCTGGATTGCTTTGGGGAGGGGGGTGGGATCGTGGGGACAGGCTGTTGGGATAGGGACTTTCTCAGCCCCTTCAAACCCCAGAACAGCCTCCCCTGACCTCGAATGGGCCCTGGATTGCTTCTTGCCATTTAGATTGACTCTATGCATGGGGGAAAATTCTGGAAAACCCTGCTGTCCCCTTATTTGTTGGGGGCGCCTGTTAGGAAGGCAGGGTCCATTGGTTCACCAGGTGCTGGGCCCTGAGTTCGTGGAGTCAGGCCCCTGTGTGCCCTCAGCCTGCAGCTTCAGGGCGAGACTAACCTCGGGGCACGGCTGCCTGGTGTGTGGGGTGCGTGCGTGCGTGTGTGACACCCAGGGCCGGCCCGGTTGACAGGAATGGGATGACGAGTGGCCACAGCATCGTGCTGATGGCTTAGACTTCATCCCGCAGGCAGGCTTCTCTGAAAGCGTCCTGGGGCGCAGAAGGGCCGGCACGGCGAGCCCTATGCCCGCGGTGGGGGGACCCCTGAGTGCATCAGGGCTTCTGAGAAAACCTGCAGTAGGAAACACACGCACACACACGAAATGGTGAAGCTCAGGGTTTCCCGAAAGAATTTCAGCGGAGAGTGTGTCTTCCCTGGCAGAACGCGCACGATCTCCCCCTCACCCCGGGGTTCGGGGGAGCCCATTCTGGGACGCGTTAGACGGGATTAGCTGTGACCCTTGGGGAGAGCCATCGCGGGGCGTGAGGGGCGTGAGGGCGATGCGGACAGCTGTGTTTAGACCGTGCCCAGGACCGAGGGGGCGTTATCGTCACAGAGTGCCCACAACACCCACAGGGGTGGCCCGTCGGCTTTGGGGCTTGGTACCGGTGGGCCCGTCTCAGGCCATGCTGACAGGTCTCAGAGGTGGAGGGCTCGGGGTGGGCCTGGCGCCCGCCCGCTGCAGCTTGGCTGTGTCCGTGGGGGTCCCTGCCCTATCCCCACCCCCCACATGTGGTGGACGCTCTTAGAACCAGGAAGATCCCAGGGCCAGCGGGGCGGGGCGGGGCGGGGTGGGCAGGGAGGCGCAGGTGGTCTAGGCATTTTGAAACTCTCGCTCTTGACCGATCGTGTCTATACTTGCAAAGTACCTTCTCTGTGTGCCCGGCTGGCCCCGGATGGTGGCAAGGGCACCTCAGTGAGGCGGACCCCGTCTGTGCCCTTGGGAAACTCAGAGCGTGGGGAAGACACGGAGGAGGGCGGGAGGAGGCAGGTCGCCTGAGATCACAGACAGGTGCAGAGGCGGCAGGGCAGGCGGAGTGGCTGGGAGGGGGTCACGGGCTGGGGCCGACCCGCGGTGACTCTTAACCAATGGCACAGCCTTAGACAAGTGACTTACCCCAGTCCCTTCACCTGCGGGCGGGATCGTTGCCATCAGTGGGCCATTTATCGTTTCGTGTATTGTTATCCCTGAAATGACTTCTGCCAACACCAGGTCTCTTCCGTCTGGCAGAGTCGGGGGGCGGGGGTGCTTGCGTGCTGAGACACGGGAGCCTCAGACAAAGGACGGGAGGACGGAAGGGGACAGGAGCAAAGCAGGGGCAGATGGACCGGCCTCCCAGGCCCAGGATCCCGCAGGCTTGGCTGCTACCACAGCCCGAGGGACGAGGGACTCCGTGGGGAGCCAAAGCCCGAGAGGGGTGGGGAGGCCCCGCTGGAGGAGAGCGGGCCAGCCAGGGCCACGGTCCCCTGAGTGCAGTTCACACTGTGGTCTCTGTGGCCCCGCCCTCGCTCCTGGGCCTTGTGCGATCACTGTCACACACCCGAACGCCTGCACCCGGGGACCTGGGACACCCGGGTTTCTGCAGGGGTGCACGTGCCAACTCCAGGCCTGTGGGCTGCCGGCCGGTGCCAAGTCTCTTGCCAGCGCTGTCTCATGTGCCTCTGCAGATCTAGCTGCACACACCACAGATGTGCCCACGGAGGCGGGGACAGGGCAAATGCTTGGTCTGAGGTCAGCCGGCCAGGAAATGACCGAGCCAGCCTTGGCCCCGGTCTGGCTGGGTTTGAAAGCCACGCTCTCGCGGGCCCCTGGCTCTCTTCTGCAGCTCGTGGCGGGGGTGGGTGGGAGGATCCCGTCTCAGGAGGGTGGGCAGCAGGGTCCCCGAGGGCTGGAGTGAGGGTCAGGCGTAGATCTCCATCTCCGTGGGGCTCAGCCTCCCCAAAGTGTCCCCCTCAGCCCTCCCAAGGACCCGGCCGGATGTTGCCGGGTGATGCCCACACAGTGCAGCCGGTAAAGCTCCGCCCATCCTGAGCTTTCCTGCCCAGGAGCTCTGCCAGCTCCACCCTCCCCTGGCCTGTCTTCAAATACACCTGGTGCCGATGACTCAGGGGTTCTGTCTCCAGCCCCCTGAGCCACTTCCCTGAGCTGGAGTCCTGTCTCCGCCGGCCGCAGTCCTCACCCGAGAGAAGCGTGCTCAGAAAGTGTACACCGGACCCTCGGCCACCCCAATCCTCCGCTTCCCTTATCCTCAGCTCCCGTCCACAGGCGAGTTTTCAGCTGGACCTCGAACCGTGCCCCGAGCCCGCCCCTGCTCCTCCTTGCCCTGGCAGTGCGGGCCTCCGCCCTCCGACCCCCAACTCCCCTTTCCTCCCGTCACCCTGCACACGGCAGCCAGGACAAATCCGTCTTACCCGTCACTGGCGGGATCCCCCTCGGCGGCTCCTCAACACTTAGCCTGACCCACGAGACCCCATGCCACCCGGCCCCGCCCGCCCTGAACGGCGTCTCGTCCTCCGTGACGGCTCCGGCCACCCCAGTCTCCTTCCCACCCCGTCGCCCTCGCGTGGACAAGTCCTCATCCTGCTTGGCCCCGCTGTCCACCGCCTCTGAGCTGCCTTCCTTGACCTCCATGCCTAGGGGACCCCTTCGTTAGGCTCATAAGCACCCCCTGGGTCCCCTCTAGACCCTCACACTACCTATGTGACTTGATGCCTTATCTCCGTCTTCCCCAGGCTCAGCCTCACAGAGCAAGGCCCTGGTCTGTTTGTTCCCGGCCAGGCCTGGCCCAGCACCCGGCGCACAGTAGGTGGCGCACAGTAGGTGCTATGGAATGAGTGGGTCGCCACGTGATGTGTGAATGTCCTGTAATCCTCCCGACCCTCCTTGCATACTCCCAGTGCGAGGGCGTCACCACCTCTCCCGTGAGGCAGTGCTGCTACCCGGCGTGGATAAAAATCTATTAATGGGACACAAAAACTGAGATACAGACGCTCAGAGGGGCTCCCAGAGAAGGGGACCCCACCTGCAACTGCGGGCAAACAGGCCTTCGAGCGTGCAATTAATTCAGAGCCGGGAGCCCTGGGGCGCCTCACAACGTGGCATCTAATAATCAGCTTGCATCGTGCAACCCAGTGAGGGTTCCTACTGCATGTCTCGGGGGTTATTTATTTAAGAGCTTTGGTTGGCTTTTGATTTTTTAATCCTCTTAGCAAATCAGGCAAGATGACGCCGCCCCTGCTCCCCCCACCCCCCGCACCCCGACGGCAGAGCTGAGCTGCAGCATCTGGCAGTTGCTGAGCTGTCTGTCTCAGTGCCAAGGCCGCTGGGAGCCGGGCCAGCCGGAGTGGGGCTAAAGACACGGGGTGCCGTGCAGTGTCCTCCCCCAGCCGGGGCTGGCACCTCCTTGGGGTCGGCCTGCTCAGGCGTCCCCAAACGGTGGCCCCCGGGAGCATTATGGGACTTGGACCTCCCTCCCGAAAGCCCGGCCGTGGCTCCCACTGCCTTCAGAACCGAGCACAGACTCTGGTGTGGCCTGCGGGCTCAGCGTGACCTGGCCTCCACTTCCTGCCCTCCACCGCCACCACCGGCTGACCCCCCGAGAAACCCCCAAACGCGAGTCGTGAGGGGCAGACGACGGTGTGTGGAACCAGGCGAGGGATAGATCAGGGAGGGCTCCTGGGGGAGGCGGCATGGAGGGTGGACACGAGGAGCCTGTGCAGAGGAGGGAGGCGGGAAGCTCTGAGCGCGGGCGGGCACAGCTTCAGGAGCCGTGAGGGGGCCCCGTCCGGGGGGGCGCGGACCCGGCAGGCTTCTGGGTAACAGATATGCACGACAGCGGCCCAGCTAGTGGGAGCCCAGTGCCTGGGGCAGGAAAGCTGACGAGGCCTGAGGGAGACAGGCTCCAGAGGCGTTAGGGTCTCAGGACAGACATGGGTGGGGGTGTGTCAGGGTGGGTGGGCAGGGGGGCGTTTCCTAGAGGTGCAGCACCCGCAGGAACAGGCAGGCGCGGAGGGGGAGGGTGGTGAGGGCAGGCTAGGTGCTGGTGCGGAGGGTGTCCTGCAGGGGGCAGGCTTCTGCGACCGGAGCCGGGCTGAGCGGTGGCTCCGTCCGTGCATCAGTGGCTGTGTTGCTGTGACCATGTGTCATTGGGAGGGTATGGCCTCGGTGTGGGACGGCGTCGGGCTCATCATCTCTCCTCCTGGGTGTGGGGGTGCCCTCCGCGACCTTGAGGCCCCTGGAGCCCCACCCCTGCCCAACCCAAATTCAGGTCTCCAGTCTTGCCTTCAAGTTCATATCCAAGGGGACCC